CAGCCCCAGGCTAAGAACTGGCTGCTGGCTCCCAGCAACTTGGCGCTCATTACAAGTGCTGTCCTGCTGCAGCCTGGGTCCCTGCCGGCTCTTTGAACAGCTCCCTGCGGGCTCTTGCCACAGCTCAGTCTGCTCTGGCCGGAGCGGCCACTGGGGCGCCCCCGCGGCCTGTCCCCTCTGCAAACTGCCCCAAAGCTGCGCGTGGGAGAGGCGGGCATGGTGGGCACAGGCGACCCCGGGAAGACTAGAGAGGGCAAAAAGCAACACGCAGAAAGGGGAGAGCACCTGCCTGGAGCGTGCGAGACAGGACGGGCTGTTCCTCCGACATGTAACGAGAGCAGCTCACGGCCGTGGCCAGAGGTCACCCAGTGCAGCCACGGCCCTTGGGGTCAGCGGCCTCTCCCTGCCCTCTATGGCAGCAGGGTGCCCCGGGGCCTGCTGGGGGTTTGGGTTCCCGCTGGTCCAGGAAGCAGAGACCCCGTCTCTCGGGAGGGACCCATGGGGACAGCCAATGGATGAGGAGCAGCTGGCCGGCGTCCCGGGCCGGACAGTGGCTGGGCGAGACCAGAGCTCACCTATGCAGCCGGTTCTGCCCCCGTGCGTGCTCCGAGCCACAGCCTGCTGCAACCGGCCCTCAGGCCTGAGAGTTTGCTCAGCTGGACAGCAGGCTCCCTGGGGGAGCGCCCGGCCCCCAGCACAATGGGGCCCTTCCCCACGCTGCTGCATCCTCCACAGAGAGCCCAGCCCGCTGGCGGCAGGGTGACTGTGCGCGGGGTGGGGGAACGCCTGTTACCCAAGCCCAGGGAACCTGGCAGCACAGACAGCTGAGCCCCGGGCAGCACGCTGGATGTGAGCTACCCGCCACCACGCTCTAGCAGGGACCAGGGCTGGGCCTCTCCCAGCCGTGCTGGCTCTGCTCAGCATGGCACAGCCTGGCAGGGTGGACAGGCCCTGGAGAGGCTTGCTCAGGCCGCTACAAGCCCCTGGAGACGAAAGTGGCTCCCGCCAGTTCCCGAGACTGGAACTTCCTCGGTTTGGCCCAGAGCACCTCGGCCAGGGCTGGGCAGCAATGCAGGCTCCATGCTGCCGGCAGCCCCACCGCGACCCGCTCCCCCTAGCCAGTGGTCAGCACAGGGCTTCAGCAGCTGGCAGGCCCACTCCAGCCCTCAGCAGGGAGCAAAACACCCCGCGCAGGGAGCCGAGGTCCCCGCCAACAACCAATTCCACCCCCCCGTTTGCAGGGATGTCATTCAGGCAAGGGGGGGGAACTGTTTTCAAAGGTGCCTAAGTGATTTCGGATCCTAAGTCCCACTGACTTGCACTAGGACTTGTGCGCCCAAGTCAGGCTGGTGCCTCTGTAAATGAGCCCCAGACTGCAGGGGCCA